AGAACAACATGTCATAGTCACTTTCATATATAAGCCTTCATTTTGGCTTGCCCCCATTGGCACAGCGGTATGTCTGTAGACTTACAGCGCTAGAAACCGGGTTTCGATACCCGTGGTGGGAAGATTACAGATAGCCCTTTGTGTAGCTTTGTGCTTAATAACAAACAACAACTATCTTGGCTTAGATATGTAGGTGACGTTTTTTGCGGCTTTACTTGTCAAGATCAACAAACAAAATTTCTACAACGCATAAATAACTTACATAAAGACAACACATAAACAACTTACGTAAAGATATATAATTCATAGTTAAGAATTAAAATAATCACACGATAAAATTTTTAAATGATAACATCACACGAACCCCAAGATGTCACTATTAAAATTCATAGAAAAAACTTATACAGGAGAAATTACATAAAATTGTTTTCTAATCATATAATACACCAGAAGCTTGTCACTTTAGAAAAGACCCCTAAATTTAGCATACACTAAAACCATAGACAACATTGATGAAAACGTTGCGCAATTAACTCAATGCTTTACTAACGTAAACCAGTTTCCTATTAAAGTAGTTACAGAATCTATTAACAAATTAAAAAAATACGACAGACAAGAGACTCTTAACAAATTAAAAACATACCACAGACAAGGAACTCTTAGCAAATAAAAAATACCACAGACAAGAGACTCTTAACAAATGAAAAAATACCACAGACAAGAGACTCTTAACAAATTAAAAAATACCACAGACAAGAGACTCTTAACAAATTAAAAATACCACAGACAAGAGACTTTAACAAATTAAAAACATACCACAGACAAGAGACTCTTAACAAATTAAAAATATACCACAGACAAGGGGCTCTTAGCAAATAAAAAAATACCACAGACAAGAGACTCTTAACAAATTAAAAAATATCACAGGCAAGAGACTTTTAATAAATTAAAAGCAAACCACTGACAAGAGACTCTTAACAAATTAAAAATATACCACAGACAAGGGGCTCTTAACAAATTAAAAATATACCACAGACAAGGGACTTTTAACAAACACATAAAGTCAAAAACACTCCATAAACAAAGGAAATCTAATCACTTACACTATTCTTATATAGAAAATATTAGATACCTCTATCAGAAATTAGAAATATACTAGCACATAAATATAACCTTAACATAATGCCTAGATCCATTTTTAACCCTTGAAGGAAGATTAAACACATGTTAAGATAATTATATAACGAATCCACCCCACTAAGGAACATTTACAAAATAAAGTATAACAATTATCCAGCCTTTTTCATAGGTGAAATAGGAGTAACTTGAAAATCAGGTTAAAAAAATACCAAAAACCTCCTTACCAAATCCGTGAACATATGAACAAAAACAACCACAGTTTTTCTGAACAGAACGTTACAGTACTAAAACCTGAACCTGATATTAACAGAAGAAAAATCAATGAAGTCTCATTAATAAAATCAAACAATCCCGCAATTAACAAATATCTAGCAACATCTTTGATCATAGTTCCCAGACATTCCTAGTCTTATACAAATATTCTGCCCAATGTATTCAACACATTTATTCACCTTTTGTTTTTTCTGTTCAGCCATAAACAAATAATCTATCAATTCATGCGGATTGATATCCAGATTCATAAGTAACCACTATGAGTTCTAAAATTTAAATACATAGTTAGATTGTTGATTTAAATGTTGAAACCTTCTTTACTATTAAAACACGTGTACTTGAGAATGATCGCACCAGTGATCGAAACGTGGTACCTGTTCTAAAAAAAAATGATGTTCCTTAACCAAAATCTGTAACTTGTAATATAAGATCTTAGTATGTCCGTTTTGATATTACAATATTGCATCCGTTCCCTTTAGTACTTGATGGTTTACTATTGCTCGGGATGTCTTTTATTGGAATCAACAAAATCTTAACGTGTCCCTCTTAATGCTTTCTGTATTTTATACAGCTCATCTTATTACCCGAACACTCAAGACTGTTAATATAATACACTAGCGCTGAATTCTTAAAAGCTAGAATAACCGTATTTACTAATTTCCATTATATTCTAAAGAATATTTTTACCAAACAATTATTTCCACCACCTGCTAACCCACTTCTTTTTGTAAAGTAAATAAAACCTTTTCATTTATTACCTAAAGAGTAATAAGATCGTCTTTCCTGTCCCGAATAACCTTTAAATCCTAGTTTACTGAGTCAAAATAAGTCCAAACTGGCATAGTCAAGTGCTGGAAATTTTATTTACTGAAACCCATTAAGATACCTTTCTTTTGTGCTACTTAACTTAAACTGTAACCTACGTACTCTATAAAGTTTCGCAAACGTATACTTCCCACTCATTGGTGTGTACTTTCATATCTCAGCATATATTAATAGCAATGGAAACTGATATGTAGAATTAAGGATTCATCATATTAGAGTTTCACTGTCTAGAGTTTTCTAGCCATAGCTAAATTAGCTCAGGTTTCTTTTCCAATTTTTTATCGGATTTTCTTTATCTCACTATAACTTTATCATGATCGCTTTTTCTCTTTGCTTACCTAGCCCTAATTTGATGTATAGTGTTGTTTTGCAAGATAACGTTACTTAGCATAATCTTAGGAAAGTATGTATGTATATAAAACATGTATATTTAAAATATTTTCTCCTGAGTATATTGGTGTTTGAACCAATATTTATACACTATAAGTCGCTCACTAGGCTTTTCATTGAGTGCTTTACATCCAGAAAGAATCCAAACTTAAAAACATTTATATATTCTAAAATATGCGCTGCATACCATGAATGTTTCTATAGCATATGTGGTTCAGTAAGAGAGGGTTGTTTGTGAACGCTACTTGTTTCGTATTGAACAATGATTCTGCACTCATCCCTTTTTTTTTTGTGTGTGTGCACAATAATGACCACAGTTTACGTCATATCACACACAAGGTTGACCACTTTAAGAAGCAAACACTACTGAGCACTTAGAAACTATCATATTCAGTTTATATATCTGGGGCTACAAATGAAGACTGAAAACGCTATTTTGGTGTTATGTCTTCCATAAACACAATCCCTTATTCCCTATTAGGTCGACGTAAATATTGTTCAATTATCCGCGGCAGCTGTCGATGTACGAAACGATGCACACTCGGTCTCGTTCACCGTGGATAATTGTTCATTATGTTCAACAGTTATTTACTCTTCATCGTTACTGGGGTCGTCGCCCTTAAAATGAACCAGGTATAAGAACATTCTATTCTCTGGTCAGTTCTTTTCTGCCAATCAACTCTTATTTTCTTAGATATCACCACACTAAAGTCGTTAGATGGAAGAACAATAACAAACAAAACACCGTTACAAAACATTCGATTTTAGAAAGTTGTGTCACATAAAAATATCTCAAATATCAAAACCTATCTCGTCAATGCTGGTATCTTCGGCAAATTTTATTTTTTCTATCGAATTCCATTGAATAGCTAGTATCATCATTTATAATTAGCAAATTACATGTAATAACCTACACAAGTAGTTCCTAGTATCATCATTTATAATTATCAAATTACATGTAATATCGTACACAAGTAGTTCCTAGTATCATCATTTATATAATTAGAAAACTACATGTAATATCGTACACAAGCAGTTCCTTGTATCATCATTTATGATTAGCAAATTACATGTAATAACGTACACAAGTAGTTCCTAGTATCATCATTTATAATTAGCAAATTACATGTAATATCGTACACAAGCAGTTCCTAGTATCATCATTTATAATTATCAAATTACATGTAATAACGTACACAAGCAGTTCCTAGTATCATCATTTACATAATTAGCAAATTACATGTAGAACGTACATAAGCAGTTCCTAATATCATCATTTATATAATTAGCAAACTACATGTAATAACGTACACAAGCAGTTCCTAGTATCATCATTTATATAATTAGCAAACTACATGTAATAACGTACACAAGCAGTTCCTAGTATCATCATTTATATATATTTAGCAAACTACATGTGATAACGTACACAAGCAGTTCCTAGTATCATTTATATAATTAGCAAACAACATGTGATAACGTACATAAGCAGTTCCTAATATCATCATTTATATGATTAGCAAACTACATGTAGTAACGTACGCAAGCAGTTCCTAATATCATCATTTATATATATTTAGCAAACTACATGTAGTAACGTACGCAAGTACTTTCTTTAATTCCACACAATACTTTATTTTAGGGCGAATTTTTTGGCAGCTCATAAGGATTTGCACTTGTGGAGATTGTTCACATTTTTCAATAGATTGATAGGCATATAAAAATTGACTAATGATTTAAGAAGAACATCTAAGGTCTAGTTTAGTTTAACATTTTTAAGTAACTTCAGAAAAAATTGTAAACGTTGTAATGTATTTGGAAAGTTTACTTCCCAAACGCAATTAAATGTGTCAGAGTATAAAGGGAGATAAAATAAAGAAAAAGAAAAAACAAGAGTTTTTCAAGACCAAATGAATCGTCAGTTAGTTTTGGTATTTTTCTTAAATTAACCAGATATTCTAATATTATAACAATATACCCCGAATTAACTTTGTATTAGAGCCTAATCTTGTGAACTAGAAACCAAAAGAGAGGGGGTTAATAAAGAAAGAAGAGCTCCTCCCCAAATATTAAATTTCTTTAACTCTTTAATTGAACTTATTAACAAATTACACTTCTTTCATTAATATCAACACAAAAAAAATCGTGTAACTCGAATACTACGCCTTTAATTATAACAGAAACATTAGTTTAAGAATATTTTCTATGTGTCCTATGTGTTCACGTATTTCAATCTTTTAAAAACATAGTTTAAATAATCACTATTATTATCAAATGAATTATTTACTTAAATATATTTCTTATTCCGTTGTGAGCAAGTTAATACTTAAACATGTTCACATCTACTTGGATTTATTCAATCTGACCTGTATCTAACATCATTGGTACGTCCTCTACAAGTAGGCTTAAAGCTCCAGCTCGGCTAATTCAATTTTCTTGCACAACGAAGTCCTTCAAGATCATAACAGTTTTTAAAAAGGAAATGACAATTTAACATATTATTCGTTTGTTTTAATACCGTTCATATAACTCGGTTTCCAGGCTTCAAAAACTCAACAATGCAATAAATTATTTTGTAGCCGTGTTGTAAGAAGATCCCTAAACACATTTACGTTCGCCGAATTTTTAAGGTAATATACTTAATATAATAACTTTGTATGTTGATATACGTTGTACTTTTGTACGGTGATATACGTAATACGGTGATAGCACAAGCATATTAAAAACGTTCATTGTTTTATCTTCGCTACCAATTTTTTTCTCACAACGTTGTAAACCAGTACGTTTGGATATGAGCCAGTTGAATATGTTGTTTAAAAACCAGTTTTTTTTTTACTTCCGGATCGTAAAATATTATCTCATTTACTAAAAAAAAAAAAAGAAGAAAAAGTTGCCAGTCAAGATCTTAATTTGTTTTTAATGAAATGCTTGAAGCACCACAGCATTACGCCTTATACTTTCTTATCTTGTCGAAAAAAAAAGACTTGCAGCAACGACACAAAAAAATGTGGGAAAAAAATATTTGTCTCTACTTGCAGTTAATACGAATTTAATTGTTTTCCGTGTAATCGTCATATATATATATATACAGGTGTTCTCTGTTGTAATTTAATTAAATGGACGACAACTGCCTGCTGTTGAAACACAAGTGTAAAGGACGACGTTTCGAATATCTTCCGCCTTTCTTCTTCAGACAGTGCCGTCCATTAAACTAAGTTTCATCATGAATACTCTGCCTGAACAATCTATCATAGTGTCTTTGTTGTTTCTGCTTTCACAGAACAGGCATGTTATAATAAGTTAAATTGCGTACTAGATTACTAATGGTTGGGAGTCATTTTTAATTATTTTTCTAACTTACAAAAGTTTAAAATATATTTTAAAATGAAACATTATCTAAGAAACCATACACTGGTTTCACGGTTATATTCCTAACTCAACTTTTTTTTCCTACATTAAACGTCTAAACAGGTGAATTTAAGTTTAAGTTGTAAATAATTATATATTATATTCAAGGTTGTCTCGGATTATAGCTGCTGATAAAAGCAACAAAACATACATTCAATACTACGTACAGTCGAATCTAGGTATATTTAGGTTTAAAACTTAAATCACAACAATAAACGCTGAAAATTCGAAGTTCAATCTACCTAATGTTAAACACAGGCAACATTATACTAGTCAAGATCCACCCTGTGGTGATTAACGTTTTTCAGTAATCTATCTTATTATTATTATTGCAACTATACAACATCAACACTAAATATAGGTAGTTTGGATAGAGGATTGTTGACAACTAGTTAACATTTATTAGTAGTAAACTAACTTCTTAGTTTATAATATTCTAATTAATCCAGCTTTAAATTAACTCTAACTATTTAGGTTATGAAAATTCGTGGCCGTTTTCGGGTATATTGTCGTGAGAAAGAGTATTAATGGGATTAGATACAAGATGAGGGAGTGCTATTTACTGGTCTGAGTTGATAGGATTAGATACAAGATGAGGGAGTGCTATTTACTGGTCTGAGTTAATGGGATTAGATACAATATAAGGAATGCTATTTACTGGTCTGAGTTAATGGGATTAGATACAAGATGAGAGAGTGCTATTT